TCTGGTACCGCGTGAACCGTTCAGCCTCGAACGATCGGCGGCGTTCCGATCGCCAGGTTGCTCTGTACAAGTCGACTCTGGGCCGCTGGCGGCGTTCAACCTTGGATGCCCGAGGCCGCGTCGTAGCCGGTCGACGCGACGCGAACATACCGTAGACCTACCCCCCCCCTTCTAGGCAGGCAGCACTGCTTGGGAAGTTCGATGCTCTCCCCCCTGAGCCCAGCCCCCCCCCTAACTTGGGCGCCCGAGTTATCCGGGGTAACTCGGGTCCGGGGTAACTCGGGTTTGGATTCCCGAAAAAGGAACCCGAGTTATCCCTGACCCGAGTTACCCCTGATGATTCGGGGCTCTGGACGCCCGAGTTATCCGGGGTAACTCGGGTCCGGGATAACTCGGGTTCGGAATCCCGAAAAACGAACCCGAGTTATCCCTGACCCGAGTTACCCCTGATGATTCGGGGCTCTGACTAACGTTTCCCCAGATCCTGTCATGCCCCTGGGTGCAGCTCGGAGCATGGCGAGCTGAGACAGCGGCAACCCCCAAAAAAGAAATATCGGCCCCTGGCGCCCACAAGCGCCCCAGCTCTCCGAGCTGCGCCCAGCCGTGGCGACGAAAGGGCCTTCCGAAGACCAACTGCCGCTGTCTCAGCGCGCCCACTTGGTCGGGGGCGCGCAAACATGGATTAGCGATCCATGGATGTGGCGCGCGGTCGCCAAATCCATGGATCGGGGGAGGTGCCCTCCCCAAAATGCGGCCGGTGCCGCCTCGCTCAGCGGCGGGAATCCGCGATTTCCCATGGAAACGGGACCCGTCGCTAATCCACGCCCCCTGAACCCATGTTTGCGATCGCCTGACTTGTGCAACCAGAGCATATAGGAGAGGGCACCCGCCAGCGCGGCTCGAGGCGCCGCGAGGTCCAAACGCCGCGTGGGCTCTGACGCCGCGCGGGCCGCGGAGCCTCGAGCGACCGCGGCCTTCCCGAGGCCGCCCGGCTTCGCACCCCGCGCTGCGTCAAAAAAAAATGCGAGGCGCGATCCTCTTCGCGCCCTCGCGCCGCTCCACAAGAACACCTGTCCAGTCTTCTGAGCAGGGACCGACCGTCCCGGCATTCCTATAGTCATACCACGAACTATTCTTGGAACCCAAAAATGTTCTGAGAACAGAAACAATGCTCTTAGAACATAAACCCGATGTGATAAAACAAGGCAGGCTCCACCAGAAGCGTTCTAAGAACATTTCGTGGGAACCACAACAAGTTCTTAGAACATTGTTTGGTGGGGCCATAGGCGAGCCGGGACGCTTCGCCACTGCTCGAGAGTCTTCTTGTCCGCGATCACGCCCATGACCATCGACTCCCCACCCTGGTCGTGCCACGACTCGCACCTGGCGCCGCCAGGGACCTGGCCCACAACGGCGCTCGGGGGGTACCGTGACGTGGCCGGCCCCCTCGCCCCCCCCCCCCCCTCCACACCACCCCACTGAAGGGGACCTGGAACACACACATAAATAGACACAAATAACCGGATTCCCCATGTTTTTCCATATCTTCTGGGTGTTTGTCTTCCCCCCCACCTCCCATATCTTCCCCTATGTTCTGGGGAATCGACGACTCCTTGTGTCTGTCTGTTTTTTCCCTTCCTGACCCACCCACGGTCACGCCCGAGCGCCACGGAGCAACAAGAGGCCAGTCAGCCAATATGTGCGGCCGCCTCGCGGCCACGAGCGGCTCGGTAACCCGGGTCAGCCAAGGGGGCCTTCGCAGGATCCTGCAGGATCTGGCGCCCTAGCTGACCCCCGTTTGAATTGACCCCCGCCTCAAGGCTCCCGACCGGGGGGAACCGTGACGTGACCGGCCCCCTCGGGCCCCTCCCCCCACACACACACCCCGCCCACGGTCACGCCCGAGCGCCACGGAGCAGAAAAAGGCCCTCCAGCCCAGGCCGCGAGGCGCGACGCGCGGTGCTCCTCGCGCCTCCCAGCGGGCGGCCCAAATGGGAGCGGGTTTCCTGGAGGCGAGGGGCCCCTGGGCGCCCCTCTCGCCGGGGAACGCCCCAGGGGGCCAGGAACCATTCCTCTCAGGACATCCTTCCTTCACGGCGATCAGAGCACATCATCCGATATCGGCTGCAGCTGGGCCACGGGCGGCGTTCAGACTTCCGCCGCGTCAACACCCCAGCGGCGGTGCACGACATCGCATCGTCGATAGGACCCGTCAGAGGTGCGGCTGGCTCGTGTCGGGACGGCTTGCGCGTTCGTTCCTGACACCGCGCGGAACGCTCAGCCCTGAACGATCCAGGCCTGCCGATAGCACGCATCGCCCATAGTCGGCCGAATCTGGACCACGGGCGGCGTCCAACCTTGAACGCCCACGCTAGGGTCGCCGCCGCGTCAACACCCCGGCGGCGGTGCACGACATCGCATCGTCGATAGGACCCGTCAGAGGTGCGGCTGGCCCGTGTCGAGACGGCTTGCACGTTGGTTCCTGACACCGCGGAGCGCTCAGCCCTGAACTATCCAGGCCTGCCGATAGCACACATCGCCCAAAGTCGGCCGAATCTGGACAACGGACGGCATCCAACCTTGAACGCCCACGCTGGGGTCGCCGCCGCGTCAACACCCCGGCGGCGGTGCACGACATTTTACCGTCGATTGTACACGTTAGGAGTGCGGCTGGCTCGTGTTGCGACGGCTTGCACGTTGGTTCCTGACACCGCGGGGAACGCTCAGCCCTGAACGATCCAGGCCTGCCGATAGCACACATCGCCCAAAGTCGGCCCCAGGAGGAGGAGGAGGAAAAGGGGGAGGAGGAGGAGGAGGAGGAGGAGGAGGAGGAGGAGGAGGAGGAGGAGGAGGAGGAGGAGGAGGAGGAGGAGGAGGAGAAGCAGCACGAAAACGGAGAAAGTCGGGCGGCGTTCAACCTTGAACGCCCACGCTGTGGCCGCCGCCGCGCGGGAGCGGCGCGGACTTCCCGCATGCCCGGCCGGGGCCCATCCTGGGCCCTGGCATGGTGTACGGTCACAGAGTTACCACAACTGGCCATCGCTCGGACGTCCATTCCCTGTGCTTTATTCGGTTTCGTGCGTGGTTGTTTCGCCAAATGATCAAGGATGCTCCTCGATGGTCCTCGCCAAAGAAAAAATGTACACGTCCGAGCGATGCCAAGACAAGAAGCCCAGGATGCCCGACAGAGCGAGCCGTGGATCACCACACCATACTATTTCTCAGGTTGTCCCGCCAGAGCGGGCAAAGAGTCACTCTACAGGGCAGTTTCTAAGACATTGGACTTTTAAATACAGGAGCTTTAATACATGATTAAAGAATGGATACATTCATGCATGAACTCATCGTTGTTTTTAATGCAAACTGCCTGCATGTTTAATGCATGATCCGCACGCGGAACATGTATTGAAAATGGCACTGTACTATGGTATTTCTCAGGTTCCGTGCTCCTCCGACTCCTCCAGAGGGGGCCCTGCCAGGGTATCGCTATATCATGGTATTTCGTAGGTTTCGTGCTCCTCTGACCACTTCAAGGCCCCGCCACAGCGAGCAGGGCATGGCTTTACAATACTGTTTCTGATTGTTCGTGCTTTTCCGACCCCTCCACGGAGGCCCCGCCAGAGCGAGCAAGATATCGCTATACCATAAGAGCAGATGATCGTACATACGAATTGCCGGGAGAAACAGTCATGTTCCCCTAACGCCGAACTTTCTATCCCCACCCTGTGATTAGTAGGGGCATAGAGCTAGTGCTCTGATAGGGTAGGTGGCCCCCCATGGATTGGGCGCGCACAGGCGGTTTGCGCCGTGTCCCGTTCCCGTCACGGCGTTTGCAACGGTGACGGAAAATTGCCCATGTTGAAAACGTAGATGTTGTTTTGTATCATGATGGCTAGGGTGGACTCCCCGGGACGGGGGGGCTGTTGTCCAGCTAGGCGGCACAGTGGGATAACATTAGCTAGGATAAGGAATAAGGATACGAAAAAAGCGGACGAGGGGTGCTGGAAAGGGGGCCTGCTGAGCAAGGGGTGTTGGAGAGGAGTACTGGAAAGAGGAGGAGGAGGAGGAGGAGGAGGAGGAGGGGGAGGAGGAGGAGGAGGAGGAGGAGGAAGCGGAGGAGGAGGGGGGGGGAAGGCAGAGGGGGCGGGCCTTCTCGGAAGAGCTTCTTGAGCCTTCTCCAAACACACGGAACGCCTCTCAGAACGCCGGAGGGCTGCTGGGAAGCCCCGCCGCCTTCCGATAAGGCCTGCTCACCCCTGAGATAAGACGTCGGGGTGTGGGGTGGGGGGGCCTTGACCTTCCAGGAGGGCTACAAAATAGCACGCGACTTAAAAACCTATCCCAGAGCTATTATGTGTCCTGGTTTTAGGTTGTTTCGTTTCGTTTTTTAGGTTTTTAGCCCTCCCGTGCTAAAACATAGCTCTCTGGAAGGTCAGGGGGGGGGCATCGCAAAAAAACAGAATTGGGGCCCTGATCTTCCAAACCGGGTCCATCTGTCAGGGTCCAAGGGCCCGAAACGGCGCGACAACGCCCGCGCTAGCCCGGATCACACGCGCATCCGAGCTGCCTGGAAAGGGGTGCTGGGAAGACTCTGCGCTCACCCTCCAGCTGACTGCCTGCCAGACCACCCCAACCTTAAGTCGGGCGTGTCCCCCTAATTACAGGGGGACCTTCGACGAAAAATAAAGAATACCCAAAAAATATACCACAATTGTCAAACATACTCATAAATAGTCCCCGGACTATTTTTTGACTATTTTTGATAATTACCCCTGTAGAGGGACAGGCCCGACTTAACCCCAACCCGACCCGAAGTTCCAAATTTCGGGTTGGGGGGCGTACGGGTTCCAGAGTGATGTCTCAAACTGCTCCAGGACGCCCCCCCACTGGTACTGGAGAGCAACGTGGGGCCTGCGGGTTGGGTTGGGGGTGGTTTGGTGAGCGGTGACCAGCGTGCTGCCTGCAGGCCCCGTGCCGTGGGGGCTTGCTGTCTGGTGGTCCTCGTGGTGGCTGTCGGTGCTCATGGCATTCCCCGCCGTGGCCCTCTCCGCGTGCTGCTTCCTGGAGGAGGGGGCAAATCATCCATCAACGCACCGATCCTGGCCATCAGGAGGCAACTTCTGGGAGGTCTTCGCAATATCGCTGCAGAGGGCCATTCGGCCGGATGAAGGGGCCACTCAGCCGGACTGGAACGGGAGCAAGCTGGACTGAGCACCGAATTGAGCGGGATGAACCTGGCTTGAGCGGAACTGTGCCAAATGTGGCCTGTTGGCGACCGGGTCTGCCAGCGCCGACTCCTCCTGATGGCCATGCCAGCCCTGGGCCTGGGGTTGGCCTGGCCAAGCTCGGCCTGACTGCTCCCGTCCGCGTCGGCCCCAGAGCTCGCGGCATCTTCCCTGGGGGGCAGCGTTTTGCGCACCGCGCGCACCTTTTGATGGCCCCAGGGCTCCAAACCCTGACCTTCCAGAGAGCTATGTTTTTAGCACGGGAGGCCTATCCCCCCCCCCCCCAAACAAAACAAAAAACGAAACAGCCTGAAAACAAGACGCAGAACAGCTCTGGGATAGGTTTTCAAGTCGCGTGCTATGTTTTAGCCCTCCTGGAAGGTCGGGGAAGCCGCCCCCAGGGGGGGGGGACATCGAGGACAGAACCCGGGCGGAAAGCGCTGCCTCGTCGGAGATCTGGGCAGACGGCCGGCGCGTGCCGAGGGAGCAGCGACGAGGGGGCAAAAGCCTCCTCTCCCGGGGCGGCGGGGCTCCTCGGCGGCCCTCCAGGGCCGCCTCTGAGGACCTCCTCGGTGGGGCCTCGGAGAAAGCTCAGGAATGGAGCAGGGACCGACCGCCCCAGCACTCCTATAGGCCTACCACGACCTGGTCGTAGAGCCCAAAGATCACCTGGGATCACCAGGGCCCACGGAGGGCCGGCGGCCCCCCGAGCGCCCCCCCCCCGCCGCGGGACCTCCCGGCCTGGGCGCGCCGCCGAGCCGGGCCTCCCCCGGCGCCGCCCCGACTCCTTCTGGTCTCGGGGGTGCGCAGGCAAGGACTGGCGAGCCAGGGATTTGTGGCGACGCGCACAAAGGGAGGAGGAGGAGGAGGGGGAGGGGGAGGAGGAGGAGGAGGAAAAGAGGGGGAGGAGGAGGAGGAGGAGAGGAGAGGAGGAGGAGAGAGGAGGAGGAGGAGGAGGAGGAGGAGGAGGAGGAGGAGGAGGAGGGGGAGGAGGAGGGGGAGGAGGAGGGGGAGGAGGAGGAGGAGGAGGAGGAGGAGGAGGAGGGGCCGGGTAGGGGAGGGGGGGTAGGCTTCTGAGAAGGAGGCTGCGTCTGGTCTCGGGGGCGCGCAGGCATGGATTGGCGATCCATGGAGTTTTGGCGACGCGCACGAGGGGGGTAGGAGGAGGCGGGGTAGGCTTCTGAGAAGGAGGCTGCGTTTTGTCTCGGGGGCGCGCAGGCATGGATTGGCGATGCACGGATTTTTGGCGACGCGCACGAGGGGGGCCGGGCAGGGGGAGGGGGGGTTAGGCTTCTTAGAAGGAGGCTGCTTCTTGTCTCGGGGGCGCGCAGGCATGGATTAGCGATCCACGGAGTTTTGGCGACGCGCACGTAGGGGGGGTAGGGGGAGGGGGGGTAGGCTTCTGAGAAGGAGGCTGCGTCTTGTCTTGGGGGCGCGCAGGCATGGATTGGCCTTGCGGCTGGCCCGAATCATACGGATGCGCGGTAAGGATGCAAGGGCCTCGGAGGGGCATGTCAACGTTTTTCGAAAGAGGTTGGCCAGCGAGAGTCGCCAAGGATGGGCCGATGGGGCAAGGATGCAAGGGTACCATTGGGCATGGTGCCCATCCTTACTATGCGGGCTGACTGTATGTAGGTCGGGCGTGTCCCCCTACAGCTATGATGTTACAGCCTACTGTAGCCTTGACCACCAGAAATAATTTCGAGCACCAGAAAAAACAACTTCTGGATTTTCGCGTGCCGGGCCCTGGGAGACACTCGTCCGACACTGTTTCGACACTCTTTCGATACTTTTCCGGGTGCCCGAAATGATGTCTCGGATGTGGTCCTTAAGTACGATGGGAGCAACATTACCCTACAGGCGGATTTTGGACGAACATGGATTTTAGAAAAAAAAAAAAAAGTTTAAACAAAATCACACAATGCCCGCAGTATATATATATATATATATATATATTACAATTTTTTGAATTTTCCTCCTGTAGAGGGACAGGCCCGACGAAGATTAGCCATCCATGGAGTTGGCGCGCGGTCGACAAATCCATGGATGGGGGGAGGTACCCTCCCCAAAATGCGGCGGGTGCCGCCTCGTTGTGAGCGTGTTCTTATTCGGAGTTTCGACACTGGACGGGAAAGGGGGGGTGGAGTGGGGGCCTCGCTCCAGACCTCTGCTCAGTGCGACTGCTTGCAAGAAAGCTGCCTCTGGGGGCTGGGGGGGACTCCATCCGCTCGAAACAGGCGCTCCAAAACAGCAGCATCTACTCCAGGATGGGCGGAAGAGGGGTTTGGGGGGGCCCTCGCCGATCGGCAAAATTAGGAATAACAAAAGCGATCGCCAAGGCCGGCGTCTCCTCCAGAGACGTTGTTTGACGGCCCCGGGGCCCTGCGACGGCCCCCTGGGGCCGCAGTCAGTGAAAAACCTACGTCTTGGCTCTGTCAATACGCTGGAGGTCTGTCTAGACCTAGGACCCAGGATAGAAGAACATCCTGAAAAAACGTGAGACCCTCCACCGGCCAAACTGACGAACAGTCGAGGCTACCCTCCGCCAGGATGCACAATAATATCCAACAGACACGAAGAACATGAGAGCACCCTCCCCGAACCGACCTGGGGGTCCCCGGACGAAAAGTACCCTGACCAGGTCCCTGGGCAACTCCCTGTCGGGGATGGTTCTGCTCCTGGGCGCCGCCCTCAGGGCCTCCCAAGAGCCCCGAGAAGAGCTCAGAGACCCCCAAGAGGCCCTCAATATGGTCCAACAGAGCTCCAAGACGCCATAATATCGCTCCAAAACGCCTAAGATGGCTCCCCGACGCACCAAGAAGCCTCCAAGAGCCCTGCCAAGAGGTCCCCAAGAGGCAAAATTCATCGATTTCCCTCAGGTTTTTGAAGGATTTTCGCATTCTCGCCTTTTCCGCTTCCCGACGCTCCAAGACGACCAAAGAGGCCCCAAAGATCGCTCCAAGACGGCCCAAAAGGCTCCCAAGAGGGCTTCAAAACGGCCCAAGAGCGCCCCAAGACAGCCCAAGACGCCCCCAAGACGGCCCAAGAGGGCCCCAAGAACGGCCCCAGAGGGGGAACACGAAACAACATTTCGAGCCCTCAGTCCTAAGAGCCTCCCGGGAGGCCCCCAGAGGTCCCCAAGAGGCCCCCATGGGCCCCCTAGAGCCCCTCAGAAGGCCCCGAAGAAGCCACCAAGAGGCCCCCAAGCGGCCACAGGAAGCCCCCAAAACGCTGCCGCGAGCACACGGTATCCCAACGAACATCCAACAGGCTTATAACCCCCAAAGCGCCGCATTGACACCAGGCCCTCGGGCAAACGGCAGACATGAGACTGTATGGGCCGGCGGAATGAGCGAAGCGATTAAATAATATCCAACAGACACGAAGAACATGAGAGCACCCTCCCCGAACCGACCTCGGTTCCCTCCGCCTCCACCTTCCATACCTTCCAACCTCCGCGGAAGGTGCGGAAGAACTCATCGAAAATCATGCGAACCTCACGCAATTTCCAACGGGGCCCACACAGATCGTGTCGAAACAACGGCGGAAGGTTGAGGCGGAACGTCCAGTAGTGATGGGGGAAGGGTCTTGCACCTCGGCCCGGCCCCACGGTGAAGCTCCGGAGAGGGTGGGCGGCCGGCGCTCCCCGATCCTGCCCTCGAAGTCTGCAACCAGGTTGATCTCGAGGTCCTGCGGCCGCAGCTGCCCGCGCACGGCCTGCTTCACCTCGCGGGGGCTCCCAGAGAGGGGGCAGGGAGGGGGGGCAACGGGGGATCGGCTCGACGTTCGGGGGGAACCGAAGTTCAGATGGTCGAGGAAGTGGCTCCGCGAGGAACCCAAACGAGACCCAACATAGCGTGGAAGGGCCTCCGCGAAAACACTTCCAAGGCGGTTGTTACACTGCATGTTTGCACATCTGCCTGATCAAAGCAAATTGCCTGGCGATGTATTTCTGGATGGGCTGGTGGAGATACTTTTAGTCAGCGGCCGCAGGCGAGCGCGCCAGCGGCAAGTCCACTCAAAGCGGGGCACGCAACGACGAATTGACCTAAAGCGGGGGGGGGTGTTGGTGGAAATACGCGACGTCAATAATTTCGTTGGTCGAGGCTTCTGGACGCGACCATTGGTTCTCGGCGGCTTTCCAGCCTCCGGGTGTCTTCTAGCGGCTGCGCCTCGCCAGAGACGTTCAGGGGGGCCCCGATCGTCCCGAACGGCCGCCGGAGGCCCGAGGTATGGCCCAAAAATCACCAGGGGACCAGCTCAAAGGGGAAGCATCGAGCTGGAATCGGCGATGCATCGCCGACGAAGCGGCGCTAGGCCGCCAGCACCGACACCGCGCGCTGATGGGCGGGGCGGGCCAGCGGGCCTCTACCGGCGATGGGAGACGACGATTTGTTCCCAACCATCCTGTGGTGTTGGGTCCTGGTTTTGAAGAGACAGCGCCCCGCGTCTCACCTCCTCCTCCCGCTGCCCCCTCCCCCTCCTCCTTCCCCCCTGAGGCTTCACCCACCCAATACAGCGCTTCGTGGCCCAATAGGGAGCTCCACCGAAGGCCCCAGTGTCAGGGTTCACATGGCGGCCTCGGGCCATTTCGGCACACCCCTCACGAGGATCGTGGCCCCATAGGGAAGCTCCACCGAAGGCCCCCAGTGGCAGGGTTCGCATGGCGGCCTCGGGCCATTTCGGCACACCCCTCACGATGATCGTGGCCCCATAGGGAGCTCCACCGAAGGCGCCAGTGGCAGGGTTCGCAATGCGGCCTCGGGCCATTTCGGCACACCCCTCACGAGGATCGTGGCCCCATACGGGAGCTCCACCGAAGGCGCCAATGGCAGGGTTCGCATGGCGGCCTCGGGCCATTTCGGCACACCCCCCACGAGGATCGTGGCAACATAGGGAGCTCCACCGAAGGCGCCAGTGGCAGTGTTCGCATGGCGGCCTCGGGCCATTTCGGCACACCCCTCACGAGGATCGTGGCCCCACAGGGAGCTCCACCGAAGGCGCCAGTGGCAGGGTTCGCATGGCAGCCTCGGGCCATGTCGGCACACCCCTCACAAGGATCGTGGCCCCATAAGGAAGCTCCAACGAAAGCCCCCAGTGGCAGGGTTCGCATGCGGCCTCGGGCCATTTCGGCACACCCCTCACAAGGATCGTGGCCCCATAGGGAGCTCCACCGAAGGCTCCAGTGGCAGGGTTCGCATGGCGGCCTCGCGCCATTTCGGCGCACCCCTCGCGAGGACCGCGGCCCCACTGGAGCTCCACCGAAGGCGCCAGTGGCAGGGTTCGCGCGGCGGCCTCGGGCCATTTCGGCACACCCCTCACGAGGACCGTGGCCCCACTGGGGCGCCACCGAAGGCGCCGGCGGCAAGGTTCGCACGGCGGCCCCGGGCTATTGCGGCACATCCCTCACGAGGACCGTGCTCCGCCCTGTCGACGTGCAACGCCACCTCCTCCCTCATGGCCCTCAAGGCCCTCTCCTGCTTCTGCTCCTCGGTGAAAGGGCCGCCGCCCCTGTCGTCGTCGGCGCCCGCGAAAGACGGCCACGAACGCGCCCCTGGGCATGTCGGGCTCCGGCGGGAAGCCGTGGCCACATAGGGGGCGCGGGCGAAGATGGTATTCACAAGTGCGGCATTCACAACTGCACATGGTCGGGCCCTTCGCCAGGCAAGTTCTCTGCCCGGCGGGCGCAGTCCGAGCGAGCGGGCGCCGACGCGCCGTGCCCAGGACATGCCACCTGCACCGAATTAAGGGAGTGCTCATGCCGCTGCTCCCCAAACCCCTCCCGGGGCGCGTTTTGCCCGGGATTTTGGGGCGAACCCAGCGGTGGCGAGGAGGGCCTCGCGCGAAGCATCCGGGCTCAGCCCGTGCCCCCGAGCCTCGTCGCTTGGTCCTCGAGCCATAGTTCGGGCCTCCGGCGGGCGTTCGCGGCGAGCCAACAGATTCCCAGAGGCCTCTCGGAGTGGCGCGCTTGAGGGGGCGCACTTCGAAGCACGGCAACCTCCAGCAGGGCTGAACATAAACGGTGTTTGTCGTTTTCGTTGTGTTCGTCGCCCCTCTCTGTGGCTCGAATCCGAAACGAAGCCGAAACGAAAACGGCCAACAAAATCACCAAAACGCCGTTTAGGTCCACCCCTGGCCGTTCAGGTCAGAAACACCGTTGGGGTCTACTCCAAGACGCCCCCCAGCAGAAGGATTGCTCTTGACGGAGATAGCTCGCAAAGAGCCCCAAATCCACCTCTCAACGGCACGCGATGGCAACGGACCTGGCCCGACAGACCACAGCTGGACCCCGAACAGGAGCCCCGCGACTCCCCGCGACGGGCGTCCGTAGGTAGCGGCAGAGGAGGAAGAAGTTAGTTACTCCTTTTCCTGGGCGCCGCGCGGATAGCAGCGCGGCGCGCTGTCCATGCCGACACCTGAGCCGATGCGTTCGCCGTATATGACGAGAGAACGGAGATATGAGCGGACGTCACACACACACACACGCACACACGCACCGTCCCGGGACCCGCCAGACGATGGCCTTGGGCCCTCGGGAGACAACGGCAGGCCTCGGGGTCAGAGGCGCGAGGTCCACTCGCAACACCGTCATATCGACCGCACCTCCAAACGAGATCGCACCGACGAGGAAGGCGAGAAAAAGGCCAACCCCGCCACGCGGGGTACTTAGGGGGGCTTACCCGCACTTAGCGGGCCCAGGGAACACCACCAAAAAAACTGTTCGGCACACCTGGACGAATCCCCGTCACCACAGGTGACGAGACTGGGAGAGCAACGGAGAGATGAACAAATGAAGCACATTACTGCGTCCTTCGATGCAGGTGTCTCCACCGGCGCACGGTAGCACGTGCGCAAAAATCGTAAACCCGAATACGACGGATCAGAATTGTGACGACAACTCGATCAAGGAAAAAGGGATCCTCTCATTCCCGGGCACTCCAGGCCCAGAATTATTGTCGGGACTCCCCAAGCCCAAGAACAAGTGAAGAATATAATCTGGGTCGGGCGAAAGGGGGGGGGGGGCGTTGTGTTAACACCCCGTTCTTCCCAGTGCATTCAGATAGTTTTGAGAACAACCGATCTCTGCGAGGGCGACATGCAGAGTGCAAGACACTTCAGGCCCCCCCAACAGAAAAGGGCGTTGGCCAAAATATATGCAAAGCGCGACGTCGACATCAAAGAATTATCCTGGCGAAGGACCCAACCATATACAATTGACCAGGCGGAGTACGACGTCCAGGCGCGGTTGTTGAAGCAGCACAACTATGGGGCCACGCTCCTCGTGAGGGGTGTGCCGAAATGGCCCGGGGCCGCCATGCGAACCCTGCCACTGGCGCCGTCGGTGGAGCTCCAGTGGGCCCACGATCCTCGTGAGGGGTGTGCCGAAATGGCCCGAGGCCGCCATGCGACCCCTGCCACTGGGGCCTTCAGTGGAGCTCCCTATGGGGCCACGATCCTCGTGAGGGGTGTGCCGAAATGGCCCGAGGCCGCCACGCGAACCCTGCCACTGGGGCCTTCGGTGGAGCTCCCTATGGGGCCACGATCCTCGTGAGGGGTGTGCCGAAATGCCCGAGGCCGCCATGCGAACCCTGCCACTGGCGCCTTCGGTGGAGCTCCCTATGGGGCCACGATCCTCGTGAGGGGTGTGCCGAAATGGCCCGAGGCCGCCATGCGAACCCTGCCACTGGGGGCCTTCGGTGGAGCTCCCTATGGGGCCACGATCCTCGTGAGGGGTGTGCCGAAATGGCCCGAGGCCGCCATGCGAACCCTGCCACTGGGCCTTCGGTGGAGCTCCCTATGGGGCCACGATCCTCGTGAGGGGTGTGCCGAAATGGCCCGAGGCCGCCATGCGAACTGCCTTCGGTGCCACCTATGGGGGAGGGGTGTGCCGAGGCTGGCCACTGGCGCCTTCGGTGGAGCTCCCTATGGGGCCACGATCCTCGTGAGGGGTGTGCCGAAATGGCCCGAGGCCGCCATGCGAACCCTGCCACTGGCGCCTTCGGTGGAGCTCCCTATGGGGCCACGATCCTCGTGAGGGGTGTGCCGAAATGGCCCGAGGCCGCCATGCGAACCCTGCCACTGGGCCTTCGGGGAGCCCTTATGGGTCTACGATCGTCGTGAGGGGTGTGCCGAAATGTATCCCACGAACCCTGGCTGTGCCGCCTTCGGTGGAGCTCCCTATGGGGCCACGATCCTCGTGAGGGGTGTGCCGACATGGCCCGAGGCCGCCATGCGAACCCTGCCACTGGGGCCTTCGGTGAAGCTCCCCATGGGGCTACGAAGCGCTGTGCTGGGTGGGTGGAACGCAAGGAGGAGGGGAAGGAGGAGAGGAGGAGAGGAGACGCGGGCCACCGTCTTTTCAAAACGAGGACCCAACACCACAGGATGGTTAGGAAAAATCACGGGGATATAATGCGACGCGCCAGTCGTACTCAGACGCCTTCCCAGGATAGAATGGACGCAGCGAATGTGCGAACGCAAACTACGGCGAATGCTTCATCGCAAATGCCATGATAAGTATGCTTACCATGCGCCGTACTCTTTCGCTTCCAACTCCTCGCGAAAAGAAAAAATACCCGTTCGATGATATTGTAGGCGGGCGACCGGCATGGGCCGCGTTGCCTCCGACCAAACGGTCCGTAGAAGACAGTTTCGTATGGATCAAACGGTATGTGGAAGACCGTTTGGTTGTTTGCCTTCAACTCTGATGTTTAAAATTCGTAATA